TTAGCGAGTAAACCTGATGAATTTGGCAAAGTCCACACTTCTTTGAACCTAGTGGTCTGGCGCTACAGAATCACAAACAGTGTCCCAAACAGCAGAAACCATATCACTTGATGACTATCAACAGCAGCAACAACTAAAATTGATAGCAGATATAACTCGTAGAGAAAACAATGATATAATCAAGATGTTGACATTCCAGACTATTTCAAATAGAAGGCTAGGAAGGAAACCCCCATCAATACTAGAAAGAGCTATAAGAGCTACTGGACTTGAGAAACCTACTTTCTTGAAAAAGAGAAAGATTTTATAAATTTTAACCGAAAACAGTACTGGCTAATCGGTCAATGAATGCCGAAAGTTTTGTTGCAGGAAAAGGGATAATATTATCATTACCATATCTATCTATCTATCAAAAAGGTGTATTTACATATCTGGGTACAATGTGTCTATGCATTTATGGATAAGAAGAAATTGAAAACTGGGGACTAGAGAAACCTGTTTTTTTTCAAAAAAGATTGCTTGATTGAAAGGGTTCAACAGCTAGCGGTGATGGCCGCTCGGTCAATGAATGTAATATGTTTCTGTGGATAATTCAGTTCGCCCGTCGTTTGCGATGGCTGAAATAGATAAGAGCTTGCTTTCGTCCAGTGTTGCTAGTGACCTCCTTTTCTCTCAGTCTCGTTCGTACGGACGCCGTCACGCCAACAACGCGTTCTGCCGTCTTCCTCCAAGACTCGCTATTTATGCCCGCGTCGGAAGCAAATAAAATTTGCATACGAGACTTACTTCTCGTTCGCCCGAGACTTCCGGTTTTATAAATTCAAGCCTGTTTGAATTCTTAGTCTTTTATTTTTTGTATTTTTATTTTTTCCTTTGTACGTCTGCCCGTGATATGGGAATTTCGGAATAATTCATTTTTCTTTTACTGCCGCTCGCGATCTTTCAACAGGACCTGACACGCCATGCAAATTCGCGGGAGCTAAATCTTCTCGTTCCTCACAGTTTCCTTGTAGGGAAACGGCTAACATTACTATTACCGTTGTGTGGTCTATCGAAACAACCAAATCTATTATTTGGCAATTTCTTATCGTTTTGCTTACAACCATCAGCTCGGTCCAGGATTTACAGTCCCAGAGAAGTTTTCGGACAAACTCTGATCTTGGCATTTAGAACAGGTGTTGATTACATTCTTCATCTAGACTTGTTTATTCTTATATTATTTCTAAGTTGTTTGATACCATTTCCTCACATCACATTTTTCTTCACAAGATCGTGCAATGAATATTGCGCCCATATCTGGTCTGGCACCCCGGCTATATATGTCTAGATTCGACCATATGCAAAGAAGGGTCTGTTATGTTATAAGTCCTGGCCAGGCATCACGAGTTCAGTTTTCTCCCTCTCATTCACCTTCAGAATCAACGATACACAATTTTCTAGGTGTTGTTTTTACTCGCTTTTTTTTTAGTGGTGGGTACAGGCATGTTTCTTGAAGGAAGCAGCTGGAGAACGCGTGTCAACAGGTCAAATGGCAACATGTCCTCGCCATGTGTGTTGCAGGTAATAGAATCTAGGAGACAGACAAAGACTTGTTCAAGAACAAGAGCTCTTGTCCGTCGACTGCCGCAAGTGCACTGCTAGTTTTCAGGCTAATATCAAGATTGCGTTCAAGCATGAAACAGACTGCCGCCATTCGGTGTCGATCACTACCTTCACACTGCTTATATTTACATACGCTCTATCCCAAACATTGACCAATTTTAACCTATACATATGACACAGATTAAAACTACACATATATATATATATATATATATATATATATAGAGAGAGAGAGAGAGAGAGAGAGAGAGAGAGAGATCAGACTGACAGACAGACAAAGAGAGACAGGGGGCGGCAGAAATATCTCCCACATATAACTCACAGAATTACCTCCCACATAATGGTAAGACATTAGCTAGATGAAGACACGATTTCTACTGTCTTACCATTATGTTAGGTATTTCAAGGGAGGATATATGGAAATTATTTCTACTGCAACCTGTACATACATACATATATATACTCGATTCGGTATCTAGCCACCCCACTACGAGGTTGCATGTGGCACAAGGCCGAGTTTAACGTGGGTCTCCCGAGCCCGTAGGCTCGGCCAAAAAAATGCCCGTAGAACCCGTATAAACGGGTTCGGGTTGGTCAACCTCCCCGAACGAGACTCTGCCCTTCGGCGGAGCCTCGTCCGGGTTCCTCTCCGCTCAGAGGCAGAGAGTTCGACCGTCAAGCCGAGAAGCTCGGCCCTCTCTCTTGAGAGGCGTAGTACACATAGTGTTAGGAAGAGTTCATTCTGTAGTTATAGGTACACTTTATTAATAGTTTCTTCTCTTGCACTTCTCGCCTGTGGAACTCACTTGCAGTTTCTTGCTTTCCTGTTACCTACGATCTTCTAAATTTTAAATGCAGTGCCAATTGACATCCTCTGTCTTGATGTAAGCTGTTATTTCTCCTTATTTTTCTCACTAATGTCTTTTCATTCTCTTTAACTCACAGTAACCCGCTGCTCCCTTGTGACATTATCAACTTGCTTGAGGGTGAAAAGAAAAAAAAATAAACTTAATATATCTTCCTTTTGTTTTTCATCAGATTCAATTAATTTTTCTCACGTTTAATTTTCTAAATGGTAAAAGTGTTCTTACGCGAGAAGTTTTCGATGGGGAATTGCCGCTACAGTATTGTTTTTTTCCCGGGAATGACGGTCGACCAATTTCATTTTAAACTAAATTTTCAACGTGAAATCGGTTTCTCTCTTTCGAACCAACTGGAGATATAGAAAAGCAGATTGTCACACTCCGGTCGAGAGGAAGTCACGCGTATCATGTGACGGTTGCTTAGTGACGCCACTTCATCGTGTGACGAAAGTAGTCAGTCAGTCAGCTTCCAGGAATCAAATCGAACAGTTGCTTTTTTTTAGCATGGTCTGAGGCTAAATCTCACCCCCCACCAGTCACATGATACAGCCCACAAGCCTATGGTTTTCTAATGGAAATATATCTTAACAGAACTTTTCTTTGCAATATACAGTACTAGCAGTAGAGTCCGGCGTTGCCCGGGGATGTAACAAAAAGAGATAGATCAAGTATCGACTATCATAAAGACTGAAAAATAAAATTGACAAAGATTATTGTTTAAGGTTGACGGACACGCATGTCTTAATTAGTAATTTTTATGTTTTGTTTTGCTTTTGTTTTTTTACGAATTGGTCAAACCCAAACTCAAACAAAAACATTGTTTTCAATCGTTATGAGTCTACCGATTGAATAGAATTTTATTATAAACAATTGTCTTGTAAATGGAATTTTTAAAGCATTCTGAATGTAAAACTAAAGAAAAAAGTGTGCAAGACAATAAGAAACACTACCTGCCAAAAAAAAAGTTTTCTTGAAATTGGTTGAAAAATGTAGGAAATCCGATCCCATATATAAACGAACACACACACACAAACAAACAACCTGGGTTTTATAATAAGTATAACTCGATATGAGTTGTCCCCCTTTCAATCTCGCGATGCCTCTTAATCGTGTTTTCAAATTGATTTTGTCCAAAAACGATTGTGTTTTTTCAATTTTTGGCGCTGTTAGAACCACTGCAAGGTAATTTTACGTAGTCTTGTGAAGTTTTGTTGAAATCGGTTGAAAAATGTAGGAAATCCGATCTAATATATAAACGTACAGACACACACACACAACCTGGGTTTTATAATAAGTATGATTTTTTAAATATTGTTTGCCATAGCTTTAATTTTTTATTACTTATTTTTGCGGGCATATTTTTTTTTAATATCGTTGTCTTTTAATTAACTGTGATTCCCCATAAGAGCGTAAAATGATTTATCTTAATATATGCGCGAAAGTTAATTATCTAGCTGCTGGTGTAAATGAAAATTTCGATAAGAAATCCAAATCTTTGTCACCTTTCACGCTAATTAATATTTCCTCTTTCCAGAAATAGTTGTCAGATGTTTAAATAAAAACAGAATAAAGGGGGAAAAAAAGGAAGAATATAGCTCAAGTATGTGTAATTGGAACCATTATTATTTTTTTTTTTTTTTTAGAAATATTGAAATAATTAAATTTACATTGAAGTATTTTCGTTATTCTTAAGTAGGGACGGGGTTATATTTTAAGAGGTTTTGTGACTGATTTTTATTTCGATTTGCTCTTTATTTACGTGTCAAATTTTTAGAGTAATTTCGAGTAGCTTCTGTCATTTTGTAAAGCGTTATTAAATTTCCAATTATTACCAGCTCAAACAGCAGATGTTGCTGTAAAATTTCGATGTTTGCTTATCTTTGAAAAATTTGCTTTAATATACCACGTCTTTTTTGTTTATTTATTTTTTATTCTTGCTCTCAGGTATAAACGTAACAACACGAATTTGTCCAGAGAACATAAAAGCTTTCATTTTAACAAGAATAGCCAACAACAAAACGAAAAATATACAAATGTCACAAGTATTATAGAACAAACGAAAGTCATTTTTTTCTAATCACTCTTATGATAAACCGTTCGACAACCGAACGTGATTGGCTTGTTTTTTACGGTTTATACACCTACTGTATGTTATTTAAACATGTTATCGATTACTAGAAATTTTCTCTTTATTTTTTTTTATTTTATTTCTTTTTTGAGGTTGTTTTTATGAATGAATATTGCATTAATATTTTGTGAGGGGGAGTCAACGATGATTTTATTCCAGATACAAGTCCTACTATTTGACCCATAGTTGGAGGGAGAAGATAAGGGTTCGTATGTTTCCCATTTCCAACGGCATTAACGTACCAGTAAATTTAACGAACTCGACTAGAATTCGAACGCGGCTTCCCGATTTCTCGCCCTGAATCGCTATGCCTTATACCACGCGCACATCCTAAGTACACGTGAAAATTAAAAATAAATTTAACAATGACGATACTTCAGATCTTCAGCCTCGCACTCTAACTCTACATGTCTGTTTGTCTCTCTTCCTCTCTCTCTCTCTTTCTCTCTCTCTCTTCCTCTCTCTTTCTTTCTTTCTCGCTTTCCCTCTCTCTCTTTCACTGTCTCGATTATTTACCCCTAATGCTAATGTCCATCTGCTCATTTCCGAGTATGCTCATCTGCTATGTTGGTTAGTTAATCCCTGTTGCAGTCACCCGCTCAGACACATTAATATTTCTTCAGAGACAACCCGTGGTTTATACTACAACTATACTGAATAAATCCTACTTATAGTTTCTGGGAGAGTGCGCATACTTCTCCGTGATCAGTAGTTGAATTAGCCCACTATAACCCAGGCCCTCGGTCACGATGACTTGTGACTTCGTGCTAACACAAACATCGCCTTTTTCCGAGCAGTTTCGCCTATACAATTTCACTCATAAGGCCGTAGCCAAATTTTGTTAGGCTTGTCAAGCACTCTCTAACAATGTCGCAGACAAGAATCTTCCCAACTTTCATAGAAAAAATAGTGGTGTAAAAGAAAATAGTACGCACTCCGAAAAAGCATTAACTATAATTTTTGCAACTATGAATTTTACAAGGAAAGCGTTTATTTAAAGCTTTTATTTAAAATTCGACATGGGCAACAGATTCTCGAGCTGACCTGGAATCGCGCCAACTTATTTCACCAGGAACTCTTTTGGTATGGAAGACATAATTTCTTGTATTCGCCATTCAAGTTCTTTCAAAGTCTTGGTTTGCTATAGTAGACTTGCTCCTTTAACCAAACCCAAGAAAAAAAGGGTGTTATGTTAGGACTCCTGGCTGGCCACTCATAAATAAAATAGAGAGTTACTTTTCAATCCACCTGTATATAGCCGATGTACCAGCTCAGATATGATAGGAATATTCATTAGAACAACTTGAATGAATTAAAAAAAAGGATTTTTTGAATCCATTCATTGTTTTGAAACATCCAGGCCGGACGAAGCGAAATCGAATTTTAGCGGTCTCACCAAATAAAATATTACCATGGCTTTCTGAAGTCTCCGATTTGTTAATTCTATCTATCTATCTATCTATCTATCTATTTATCTATATATATATATATATATATGTGTGTGTGTGTGTGTGTGTGTGTGTGGGTGTGTGTGTGTGTGTGTGTGTGTTTGTGTGTGTGTGTGTATTTGAAGTCTTTCTGAAGTCTCCGATTTGTAATTAATTATTACTTGCTCTGTTTATTACATTGAGCTATCGAGATTTATATCCTCTCCGGAATTATCCATACGGATTACCAATTAACTTTATATATATATATATATATATATATATATATATATATATATATATATATATATATATATTATTTCTTTGCGGCCTCTGGTTTATCTTTAAAAAATAAGCAGGTAATTAAAGGAGAATAATGCAGACAAAAATCGAAGTGTTTCAAGCAATCACTTAATTTGAAGCCATTTTATTTCGACTGTTATATATCTTTAATTCCATTAGATCTCCTACAGCCGATATCTTCTAAGATCGATCAACCATCTGATCGATGGAATAATCTCTCAGTGGAAATGTTAAGTAGGTGAATGATTTAATCAAATGCAACCCGTATTAGAGTGATTGAAAATCGATCAGTCGTAGATCTCTCTCTCTCTCTCTCTCTCTCTCTCTCTTTATCTATCGATCGATCGATCAATCTCATGCCATTGGCAGAGGCGATGTTTCCGCTTCTACCTCTCGCTTTGTTTCTGTTTCCTTTCTCTTCGATTTGTTTAATCTGTTTAAATATCTATAATAATGCGGAATTTATAGACAGACGTATGCGCATGCTCAAAATGGTTGGATGATATTTTATTGCTATCATCCACTTTCAATGTCTAACAATATATTATAACTTGCATAATCCGAAAGGATAAGCTTGTCGTGTGTCTGACACGTCTATCTTCAAGCTGAACCGACACAATAGCAACTGTCCTATAACTAGGCGTGATCAAAAGAATCGCTGCGCAGTTGAACACCTGACCAATTCCCTTCACATATCTGCGTCGCAACTCGAAGAGGTTTTATCTGATGTACAGTGTGTCTTGAGCAAGTAGATATGGCGGAGCCCGTCCATCTCCAGATCAAATAATACCTGATGTCTACTCACTTGAAAGCTTGCCTCAGTCACAGTCATGTAGCCGTTGATTCCGCCCGAGGAATCCTCAGACCTGGCTGTTGACTTCAGTCTAGGAAGCGCACCGCCCACTGGTGCCACGTTATCACGGCACAGGCTATGCACAGTCTGCCACATTGATGGCCGTACAAGAAACTTCGTCCGCCCATTGAGAGGTCTTTTTCTTAAACCTGTTGGATTTCTAGCTACCCTTCTCATCACAAAAGCCTCGTAGAAGATGACTAGAAGATGCGGCAATCATTACCATTTGCAGAGTGATCTAGCATAAGTTTTTTGTTGTGGATTCCGGGATGAAATCCGGTACCAATAAATAACAAACGCCAAGAATGAATATAGGAAAATAAATGTATTAATGTCATAATACAAACTGGTAATGCAGGTTAGTAGTTCCAGGAATGCGGTTTAGTAGCAATATATATATATACAGTCTTTGGTATCGATGTATCACTGTATGACTTCTTATTGAGTCTACGCGCATGCTCACTGTCACTCTTGCTCGTGACGTTCGTTCTCGTTTGTCGCTCGTTCGTCGTTCTTTCTCGTTCTTCTCTCGGGTATTCACTAGCAGTAGTATATGTATACCCTGGGTGAGTCCATTTGTGTAAAAAGGGGAGAACGCCTCAAAAGTTTTTTAATGGCGGTAACCAAGAGGGCTATTTTTCTAAATAACACCAAGCAAGTGTATCATCTTTGAATGGGTGAAATCCCAAAGCGTTATTCTCTTGAATAGTAGTAAATTCTGACCGCCATTTTTTAAAGTGACGTTTACCGTTAACACCTTGTTTGTTTTAGAGATGTTGACTTCACGGATTTTCTTTTTTAGACGACCTGTGAGTAATCTCTTTATTAAATGATGTTTGCCGGGGGAATATTTCTTCTTTTTTTTTTTTTTTTTAAATACGTTGATCGGATTCATTTTGTTCTCGTAATTTCATAGTATCATCATATTTTAATGACGTTAATAGGATGTAACGTATTTTTATTCTTAATGCCGTTGACAAGAAGAACACCCAATTCAGAATAAAATAAAAGTAGTACTAGTATGGCGACTAAGGCCTATCATTTTAAAGTGGAAATAGCAAGATGTAACCGTAAGTTCTAGGCTAATAGTTTCTTCTCTCGCTCTTCTCGCTTGTAGAAATCTCTTCCGACCTTCCAGTCAACTGTGATCTTCAAAAATTTAAATGCAATGTCAGCCGTTATCTTCTGTTTTCTTAATTCTTATTCTTTTATTGTACTCTCTCCTTAATAGTGTTTTTATCATATTTTGTAACACTCAGTAATCATTTGCGTCTTAGTAAATTTTTACCTTCCTTGGAGTGAAATGATAAAAACAAATATGGCTGCTAATAATTGCTTTTTGATTTAAAGAACATCGATCCTGAGCATCGTCTTTATCAATTATATCATAAAAGGTGGATTTAAAATAATTCGTCGAGTTTTCCTCATTTATTGGAAGGCAACATATCCTTATTTTTGACAACAGAATTTTAATTATCATAATAAGAGTTTTCATTACGTCAATTTAAAAAGATGGCCCAGGCTAGAGTCATTTAAAAATAGCAGAATGTTCGCGACCACTGTCAATCAAAACGGTAGCCTATTTTGAATATTGTTTTCTTAAAATTGGATGCCATCATTGCCATCACGAACAAAACAGAATTTTGATTTGACATAGAATGCGTAGGCGAGACAAATTGCCAAAATTAAAATTGTGTTGAATATCATTCCAGATCTTACTGTACGGATGCAGAATTTCACTTGTTGAATTAAGTCGGGTTGGTGTGAATCCCGTGTGGGCGGCAACCTGACAGTGATGGACTCATTCCCTTTGTGTCAATTTTGATATTAGCCCGAAAATGAGCAATACGGTTGCGGTAGTAGAGAAACAAGAGCTTGAACAAGTCTTTGTCTCCTAGATTATTTTCCCTGCGACAAACGTGAAGAAGATAGGTTGCCATCTTACCTGTTGAAACGCTTCCTCGCCATGCCCATCTCCTTCCCACAAGAAACTTGCCTATACCCACCACTAAAATAAAGCGAATAAAAAAAAAAAACTTGAAGAAAATTGCGTATCTTTGATTCAGTCTGTTGATGTCCCTACTGAGGATTTCCTTCACAAATTCCAACATTTTGAAGCGTTTCGCCTTGTGATTCGTTTATAGTTCTCGCATACGCAGGTCGAACTGGAAACTAGATTCTTGCATATATAAAAACTTAAAGAAAGGTATGCAAAAAAAACAATATTATTAAATAGGTATTTGTTAATCTAATTATTAATTTTTTTTAAATAGTGGGAGTATTTGCGTTTTAAATAATAAAACTTATAATTTTTCCAAAAAATTTATACCACTAATTTTTTTTACTGATTTATTGCAACCTAGTATAATCAACTGTATTTTGTAACCTCTTATCTGTTTTCACTTCTCCCCAAAATTTAATTTCGATTGGTCAATTTATGGCCATTTTAGAGGGCTTGATGTACGGACAGACGGAGTATCGGAAGTCACAGAATTTTGTATATAGATTATGCTATAACCGGCATCAGTGATGATTTTATCAAGCAATCAGGAACCGGTACAAAATATATAAGGAACATTAGAGTGCGTCTTCAGTAGTGTTAACTATTTAAATAGCATCATACAGCAATACGTCCTTTCAATTTGGTTTGAGTTAAAAACACCCCTTAATTCTGTATAACTTATTCTTTAAAGTTCAAATAATGTCTTATCTACAGACATGAGCGGCGGGCGTGTTTTTTTTTTTTTTCTTTTTTGTTTTTTTTTAACATCAAAAGCGAACCAATTTTATCAATTCACAGCACGTATAATCACGCCGATTGAACAGTGATTCTTTCATATTACAAATCCTAATCGATAATATCTTCACTGTTGTCCTGATATATTGATCTGCCAAAAGAAGATACTCCTCGATTTTACAAGAATTAAAAGGGAGAAAAAAAATCAGGTTCTACCGTTCGGGAAATCTAGGCCGAGGTCAATTCTACGTTTGGCTCGGATGCCGGTGGATGCAGTGAGACCTAATCCACCGCCGGAAGTGAAGAGTCCAAGAACACACGAACCTCTAGCGCCTAATGAGGGATGGGGTTGGCTTCTATTTGAGGAATTTGAGAAATTCTCTGGCTCAATGCCAAAATTTAATTTGGAAATGTTTCGTTTTTATAGACTAAAAGAACGCTTTAATTTACGATTGTTGTTTTCCCCTTTTTTTTTTCTTTAACTCACATTTCAAATTCTTGTGTTCTTTCTTGTTTCTTATTTGGTCAGCTTTTATGTTTATTTCTTCTACTATATTATTTTCCTTTTTTTATTCTTATTTTTTTCATACTTTTTTTCTTAGATGTTTGGCTGTGTTTCACCTATTTGGGAAGGGCTTATCCCTCTCTCTCTCTTTCTTTCTTTCTTTCTTTCTCTTTTTGTTTTTATGCTTTTTTTATTTCTCTTCTCTCATTCTTTTCATCTTTCTTTCTTTCTTTAACACATACTTTATATTCTTGTCTTCTTTCTTGCTTCTTATGAAGAGATGTGGTTCTACAGAAGGATGATAAGGATATCAAAGACCGAACGTGTGAGCAATGATGAGATATGAAAGAGGTTGCAAACAAGGTGGAGGCTTATACTTAACATCAGGAAAAGGCATCTGAAGTTTCTAGGACACATAATGAGGAAGGAGGGCTTAGAGAATCTGATACTCACAGGTCGGATAGAGGGAAAGAGAGACAAGGGAAATCAACGCATCACATACCTAGCGGGCTTAAGTAAGTGGATGACAGAAGTTGGTCTGGGGAAGGAAGCAGAAGAAAGGAACTTGTTGAGAGCTGCAAGGGAAGGGTAAACGTGGAGAGCCATGATCGCCTACATCCTACATGGCACATAAAATGTAAAGACTGCGTTTATTTCTGTTCTGTTATACTGTTTTCCGTCCTTTTTTTTCATTTTTTCTTTGCTTATTTTATTTATTTTGCAATTATATTATTTTACTTATTGATATAATTTATTTTATTCCTTATTTCTTCGACGTGACTCAAAAAAAAGAAGGAAAAAGAAAGAAGGCAAGATAGAACAATAGGACTTGAGCTTGAATGATAGAAAGAGAAAAGAGACAAAAAGGAAACAAGAGAAAAAGAAGAGAAGGAAAGAAGAGAAGGAAAGAAAGAAAGAAAGAAAGAAAGAAAGAAAGAAGATGAGTCACGTCGAAGAAATAAGGAATAAAATAAATTATATCAATAAATAAAATAATATAATTGCAAAATAAATAAAATAAGCAAAGAAAAAATGAAAAAAAAGGACGGAAAACAGTATAACAGAAGAGAAGTAAACGCAGTCTTTACTTTTTATGTGCCATGTAGGATGTAGGCGATCATGGCTCTCCACGTTTACCCTTCCCTTGCAGCTCTCAACAAGTTCCTTTCTTCTGCTTCCTTCCCCAGACCACGTTCTGTCATCCACTTACTTAAGCCCGCTAGGTATGTGATGCGTTGATTTCCCTTGTCTCTCTTTCCCTCTATCCGACCTGTGAGTATCAGATTCTCTAAGCCCTCCTTCCTCATTATGTGTCCTAGAAACTTCAGATGCCTTTTCCTGATGTTAAGTATAAGCCTCCACCTTGTTTGCACCTCTGTCAGATCATTGCTCAAACGCTCGGTCCTTGATATCCTTATCATTCTTTCTTTCTTTCTTTCTTTCTTTCTTTCTTTCTTTCCTTCTCTTCTTTCCTTCTCTTCTTTTTCTCTTGTTTCCTTTTTTGTCTCTTTTCTCTTTCTATTACTCAAGTTCAAGTCCTATTGTTCTATCTTGCCTTCTTTCTTTTTCGTTCATTTTTTTTCTTCCTATTTTTTTTTATTTTTGCTTACGTGAAAAGCAAGAACTTATTTATTCCTGAGCTCTGCCATTTCCCCAGACGTCTTAACAACATGGTTGATGGATTGGATTTAGGTTTTTTAAAAATTCCTCATCATGTCAACCAGGTTTTAAACTAGTCTTTTCTGAGAGGTACCAAGAAAAACCAAACCTCTATTAGATTATGGTGCCAACCAGCAGTAAACATATGATTGGCATCACTTAAAATGAGTAGTCTGCTTGCAAAAAAATAAGGAATCCTATTTGGAACATTTTTTTTAGATTACCATTCATTCGACCTACCTCAACACACGGCATTTCTCAGAATCGAAAACTATTAATTTTGCATCATTTTAGAAATGTATCCTATAAATATATATATATATATATATATATATATATATATATATATATATATATATATATGTGTGTGTGTGTGTGTGTGTGTGTTACATAATATATATATCTATATATACATACATATATATGTATATATATATATATGTTACATAATATATATATAGAGAGAGACAGACAGACAGAGACAGACAGACAGACAGAGACAGACAGACAGAAAGACATGCATTCGGAGGTGTTGAGGCCTCACATTTATACACACACCCATACTAATATACACACTTACACACATCATACTCATTCATTCTTTAATGAGCTAAATGATAACACACACCCACAGCAATACACACGCTTACACATATCATACTCACTCACTCCTTAAGAACCAAATTGCACACTTAACAGAGATACACCCACTTTCCAGGAACCAATAAAACTGTCAAAATGACCAAAGGAATTCAGATCAGCATGAATCCATCCAGCTCTTATCTTAAATAACAACTTCAAAGAGACTGTTTGACCAACACAAGGACTGATCAAAATACATGATAAAAAATAAATAAAAACTATAGATAGAGTTCATTTTCTCCATCAAGTCATTCATTTCTGTCCTTCACTACTACTAACAAGTAGTTTTTTTTTCTCCTGATGATGGCCATGCTGGCCGAAACTAGACAAGGAATCTAATTGAAATAATAAAAACGAAAGAATATTAATATACAACCCAGTGTGTCTGAAGATTTTAATTTTTTAATATTCTTTATTGTTCAAAACACACACACACACACACATATATGAACATGCCAGAGAAGCGTATGCTCTTTTTGGCTTTCTCAGATTAAAATGAAGTACGTGAGGAAAATATTTTTAGATCTCTGTGCATAAGTGGGTATCATAAATCAAATGAATTACCCTAGGTTATCAAAGTCCAGACCTGGAGAGTGTTTTTGTGCGTGTTTGGTTTATCTATATCTGAGTCGTTCCGTATTGTAGAATTTTAAATCAGAGATTTTTTCTCTAAAATATGTATATGGTTTCTGGTGTATAGGTATGCATGTCCCCGTGTGTAAAATATATATATATATATATATATATATATATATATATATATATATATATATATATATGTGTGTATGTGTGTGTGTGTGTGTGTGTATATATATATATATATATATATATATATATATATATATATATATATATATATATATATATATATATTTTATTTTATTAAAAGATTATAACAAAAACATGTTGAAATCGCTACACAATAGCTTTCGTGCGACGGCAATTTTGTGCCTCTTCAGGCGATGGTAAGTAACAGGTGATTAAATGATTTTTTTTTTAAATTTCAAAAGCAAAGTGTTACCTCTTTTCCGAAAGATAAAGTGGAGGTGAGAAAACAAAATCTCAGAATTAAAAATAGACTTGTGGGTTTGTCTTGATCCACCAATTAAAAATTAGATCTACGCTAAACAGAAAATTAACGTCAGTGGTAGAGGCAGGGGAGTTATTTTTTCATGACATGATAAACCGCAACTTAGACAGTTCATCATTGACAATTGTGGAAAACAAGTAAACAACAAATGTATTATGATTGTAGACAAATATGACCTGTTCAATTTTTTGAAAGGACGCTGAGGGGAGGGGTAGGAAGGTAATCAGACGTAAAATTAATTTCAAGAGAAAATTACAGATTCACAGAGCTGTAGATAAAATTAAAATTATGGAACATCTATATAAGATATTAACAATACTAACTGGACGGTAATACATAACAATACTAAATCTGAACAAAAAAAAGATAATTACTTGTAGAGGGTGGAGCGTTATTTACTTATAAATTATATCCATAAGAAATGGTACTACCTAATTTTTAAAATTTAACTATATTGTAAGGTAAAAGATAAATTGTGTCGGCAATTTACAGTTATTTCACTTCATTGGTTTAACAGATATATTTTATCAGTAAATCGAATAACTTCTAGTTATTCATGTAAGCATAAGAAGCAAGGTTCATTTAAAGATTTAGAGGTTCTTGTTTTTTTTATTATTTTCCATTTTACCGTAGGGGTTTTGATAACTTTTTTAAGTTTCAAAATATTTAAGAAGGGACGTTATATTTTTGTAAGCGTTATTGGTGAATGTTGATACCACCTAGTTTTAAAAGAATTCTTTGTACGCCCAATATAAAATCTTTTAACTGTTGGATTTTCTATAGTAGAAATAGTGCTTAGGCAAGAGGGTCAATTTGACATCGGTTTTGCTATTGACATTCTTTAGAATATCTACAATTACACTTGTTGTTTTCGACCTTTTTTGCTTTGGAATGTCTATTATTACTCAGATCTTTATTTTGGTTTGAAATTTTATTATTATGCTTTTTAATGTTTTTTTTAGAGATTATCGGTACAGCTATAGCTTAGTTTTAGTGTATTTCTGATGAAAATTTCACTAAGTGGATTATTTCTAGGGAAGTGTTTATCAATTAATTTAAAGAACTTCAGCACTAACTTCGTACTAACCATTTACTTAAATGAGGGTGTGTATCAAATGATTTTCCCTTTTCTACTCTCACTCCTATGATCGCTGTTGTTATGTTTTATATATTTGATGTCAGTGCACTTATAGCCACTATTATTTAAGGTAATATTGTAAACTTTACTATGTTTGTTAAAGACATCTTCATTGAAAGAGTTATTGCTTATCCTATATTCTATAGTAGAGGGAATATGTTTGATTATGAATAAAGATTGGTTAGAATTCAGGGAGATGTATATTAGATTGGCTTTTGTTTTCATGTAGCGTTGGAACACATTATTAACTAGGTCCAATGTAACATCAAGGAAATCTATTTTTTTTTAAATTAGTATTGATCTTAACTTAAAGTCTTTACCATTTTCGCCTCAGCTGGAAGCCAGCCTAAGAGAAGGATAAATCTCTTAAGGGAAAACTGGCTTAAAGAAAGATTATCTCTGTCTATCCAAGCTACATCTTTATTGCTATAGCTGGAGTATACGTACTGCCCTAAGGACCATAATGGTCGTGACGTGACGTCTTGAGCCAAATCAAACACAAGGTTTCTAATATTGAATTTTAGAAGAGGTCTGTACGCGGCTTCTCGCTGAAGTTGAGCCAAGTAAAATGCCCGTAAGGAACTCCAGTCACTCTCTCCGTGCCTACCGTGAAACACCGTCAAATATATTCAAAGGTTACACGATTAATTTAAAGGACTCTCTCTCTCTCTCTCTCTCTCTCTCTCTCTCTCTCTCTCTCTCTCTCTCTCGTTTTCTTTCTGTTAGTTCCTTCTCGATTCATCAAGAACAGATATCCGACATTTTGAATCCGCTCACAAAACGAGACAGCCCTTAGGGGGGGGAGAAGAGAAACGAAACGTCTCTTGCAAGTCTGCGCAGACAGCCGTCGCTGGAGACGAGCTTAGCCGAGGCCCAACTCGTATAGTTACCGTTCTCCATGATAGCACAACTAATTAATCGTTGACTTAGAACTGATTACAAGATAGGAGAGTAAAAAAATAAAAATAAAAATAAAAAATAAAATAAAATGAAACAGAAATAGAAAAATCAAGGCTTCTAATCTATCAGAGTACAGATAATGGCCGCTGGCTAGCGACAGGCGAAGCATCTTCTGCAGAGATAGCAATCAAAGTGCACGAGTGAGGTATGGTGTACAAGAGCGCAAGTTGGCGGCGGGGTACGGGATGTTAGCGGCGGGGTACGGGATGTTGACGTCATTCAATATTTCCGCAATCCGTATCCAGATCTCTTGGACGATGCAGCGAGGAAATGAAGGATTATTGAAATGATTCCATAATGGAAAAGATTATTGAACTGAAAGCGGTCTTCGATTCTAATCTTATTTAATATGAGGATCGATTGATAAATAAGGTCTCCTACCGTGTGGTGTCGCTAACAGTGGAAACAGAATACGATTAAACGTTTGATAGAATATAATATTCTTATTCGTTATTTCGCTGTCCACCTCGGTTCCCGAATTCAGACGCAGTACTAGAGTGGCAGTTAGGTCTCATAATTTTACTTTTGAAATTGCTAGCTATGAACATCAGTTCGATGCCAGCAATTTATTCTCTCGCATCTTTCGCTTGTGGAAATCTCTTCGGGTTTCCGGTTTTCCTGTCAACTAAGATCTTCTAAAATTTAAACGAAATGTCAATCGTCATTTTCTGTCAGTTTTCTGCCGTCATGTTCTTTTATTGTCCTCTTTGTTTCTTTCCCTCTTAGTAACTAATTGCATTAAAGTGGCTTTCATTGACTTGATTGAGGTGAAATTATTTTTTTAGATGTAAACATGTCAGACGTTTACTTACTCAAGTACAAAGACGTCCAACCTATATGCTCAAGTAAAATATGATAAACGTTTGCCTATAAATTCAAATATAATCACGCACATGTTATAGACTCAACTATACACACGCCCAATACTTGCTTAATATCAAACATAACCTATAGACTCAAGTCCAACTTATTTATCTATTGATTCAAGTACAACTTTTACCTATAGACTCAAAAATAAACAATATATACTTATAGAATTATTAATATATCTAACAGTTACCTATGTATGTATATATAGCTGGCCACTCATATTCGAGGATACCCGTTTTTTTTTAGGGCGGCTAGCCAATCCCCATTGCAGAGGCTTGCTCAGGCGCATTAGTGATTATTCAACACCCACAGAGCCCACCTGTGGTCTTTACAGCAACTATGCTGAGCAGGCCTTAGTTACAGTTTCTGGGGGAGATAGCGTTTTATCAAGCGTGATCATCAATTTGAACAAGGCCAGCACGCTCAAGCCTTCGGCCACGATGACTTGTGACTTCGTGCTAGCACACCTATTGACGGCACCCAAGGGTTCCGTCTACCCAATTTCACTCACAAGGCTTGCTATGGTTTTCAGGCACTTTCCAAAGGTGACGCACGCTGGGATCAACCCCTCCAGTCGGATAACATCAGGAAGTCTCTTTTCTAACAAATCAACTATGATGAGAATCGAATGCGAACGTTCTAACTCTTCTCTTTCATTTTTCCTACTCTCTTTCATTTTTTTCCTTCCCGCTTTCATTTTTCCTACTCTCTTTCATTTTTCATTCTCTCTTTCATTTTCCTTCTGTCTTTCATTTTTTCCTTCGCTCTTTCATTTTTTCTTTCTCTCCTTCATTTTTCTTTCCCTCCTTCATTTTTCTATCCCTCTTTCATTTTTCCTTCCCTTTTTCAGTTTTCCTTCCCTCTTTCATTTTTCCTTCCCTTTTTCAGTTTTCCTTCCCTCTTTCATTTTTCCTTCCCTCTTTCATTTATCCTTCCGTCTTTAATTTTTCCTTCCCTCTTCCATTTTTCCTTCTGTCTTTCATCTTTCCTTCTCTTTCATTTTTCCTTACCTCTTTCATTTTTCCTTCTGTCTTTCATCTTTCCTTCTCTTTCATTTTTCCTTCGCTCTTTCATTTTTTCTTTCCCTCATTCATTTTTCCTTCCCTCTTTCATTTTCCCTTTTTCATTTTTCCTTCTCTCTTTCATTTTTCCTTCCCTCTTTCATTTTCCTTCCCTCTTTCATTTTTCCTACTCTCTTTCATTTTTTATTCTCTCTTTCATTTTTCCTTCTGTCTTTCATTTTTCCTTCCCTCTTTCTTTTTTTTTTTCCCTCCTTCATTTTTCTATCCCTCTTTCATTTTCCTTCCCTTTTCATTTTCCCTCTCTTTTTCATTATTTCTTCTCTCTTTCATTTATCCTTCCCTCTTTCATTTTTCCTTCCCTCTTTCATTTTTCCTTCCCTCTTTCATTTTTCCTTCTGTCTTTCATTTTTCTTTCCCTCTTTCATCTATCCTTCCCTCTTTCATTTATCCTTCCCTCTTTCATTTTTCCTTCCCTCTTTCATTTTTATTTCTGTCTTTCATTTTTCCTTCCCTCTTTCATCTATCCTTCCCTCTTTCATTTTTCCTTCTGTCTTTCATTTTTCCTTCCCTCTTTCATCTATCCTTCCCTCTTTCATTTATCCTTCCCTCTTTCATCTATCCTTCCCTCTTTCATTTATCCTTCCCTCTTTCATTTTTGCTTCCCTCTTTCATTTTTCCTTCTGTCTTTCATTTTTCCTTCTCTCTTGCATCTGTCCTTCCCTCTTTCATTTATCCTTCCCTCTTTCATTTTTCCTTCCCTCTTTCATTTTTCCTTCTGTGTTTCATTTTTCCTTCTGTGTTTCATTTTTCCTTCCCTCTTTCATCTATCCTTCCCTCTTTCATTTTTCCTTCCCTCTTTCATCTATCCTTCCCTCTTTCATTTATCCTTCCCGCTTTCATTTTTCCTTCCCTCTTTCATTTTTCCTTCTGTCTTTCATTTTTCCTTCCCTCTTTCATCTATCCTTCCCTCTTTCATTTATCCTTCCCTCTTTCATTTATCCTTCCCTCTTTCATTTTTCCTTCCCTCTTTCATTTTTCCTTCTGTCTTTCATTTTTCCTTCTCTCTTTCATCTGTCCTTCCCTCTTTCATTTATCCTTCCCTCTTTCATTTTTCCTTCTGTCTTTCATTTTTCCTTCTCTCTTTCATCTGTCCTTCCCTCTTTCATTTATCCTTCCCTCTTTCATTTTCCTTCTCTCTTTCATTTTTCCTTCTCTCTTTCATTTTTCCTTCTCTCTTTCTCCCTCTTTCATCGGCCATGTCCCAATAGACTCAATAATAACCCTGACCAATGTTTATCAATAGATACAAGCAGAATAAAAATGATTTCCACTTTTCGACCTTTGTTACTCCAGTGTTTCATCAGGTAACCTACTTTAACCAACTAAGTTATTGTGTCTCAGGATAATCCTCTTTGGAGAACTTGGAGCGTTAAACCTAACCTGCCTGTTGATGATTTGCACCTTCTACTGTTTGTCACGCTTGACTGCACTCCCAGAAGCATGTGATCTTTTCTTACAAGTACTGCTACCGTTGTTGGAATCTTGCTGTCATTTCTCTGTCTTTCCTTCTTTCTTTCTTTCTTTCTTTTATTAGCATATAGCATTTTATATGTCGTAAAATCCACTGAAACAACCCAAAGCTAACTACATTCAAAATTCTTTGTGTCTTGCATTCAAAAATAGACATTTTGCGTGGTTAATAAATAAGCAATTATATCACTCATGAGGCAGACCCAGTAGGTATTTACTAGTATTAATTTAGTCTGGTACAACCCACAGTGAGGACTGAATACACTACAATATAAATAGCGTGACAAACTTACTAACCTTTTTCCCATAGCTGCATAAACTTGTTGGGGTTTTACAATACAGATTTCGATGCAGAAAGAAAATAATTCTTTAACGTCAAAAAGGATGATTGTTCCTCGACGTCCACCGCCTGCAGACATTTATTCTTTTAAATAGCGCAATGGGGATTTCTTGAAATCCTGGTTGGTTGCTTTTTACATTCTGTTCGTTTATTAGTAGCAGAATGAAATTTTTTCGTTTGATTTAACTCACCAAATGTAGAACTTTATCACACGATTCGATCAATAATTTTCTGCCTGTCAATAATAATAATAATAATAATAAACGAATGAAGTATTTTTTTTTTAAAATTAAGAGACAGGGAAAAAACAGCAAGCTTTAATTTGATCAAAGGGAAACTAGCCAAAGGGACGCCGAATTAGACTTAATTTCACGGACGACACTGCGCATCGTAATTTGGCAATTATTCGTTAACAAGGCAGAGTAGAATACAAACTATGTCGGCCATGTTGCGAAAATAATGGGATATGTGAGTTTTATAACATTACTGAAGAAACACAAGGAAAAATAGCGAGTAGAATGAGCAGTGTGTAATGTTTCCTTCCTTGTGATATTGCACATGATTTACATATTGCATAGTGATAAAGATTCAAATTAGCAATAGCGAAAAACAACATAATAAAGAGAAAAAATGTTTTTTAAAAAAATATTCACTTTGTATAAGGCCCAGGGGCCACTCGAGGTAGAGGGTTAAAAAAATAAGACACACAGTTTATGAGAAAGATAACGGTTAACTTCAGACTTGAACGGGTTAAAAATGTAGTGATCGAGAAACCATTCTCTTGGGAGTTGGTTCCGCAGCAGCAGTGGTTCGTGGGAAGAAATGAGGTCGATTTGTTCCAATATATGTGGCATAGTAGCTCTGAGCTGTGAAGGTTAGTGTCATGGTCCAGGTTAGGACCAAGGAAGAACAACACGAACACAAGAGTAGAAATAACGAAGGTATATTACACGAAATAATAATACAAGATGTGGAAGGTGTTAGTATGACTGTCAGTCTGGTTTGGAGTGAATTACTATCGGCTCGGCTTGATTCGACCCTCTCTCTTGAGAGGCGTAGTACACATAGTGTTAG